AGAGTTTCATCGAGATAGAGGTATTGAATGAAGAGGAATACTCTATTCTACGCATCCTGTATTGCTACAGCCTCTAAGAACATATCTTCCTTGCATTCTACAACGATTTTGACACACACTATCGCATGTTCGCATACATTCTTCTCAGAAACAAAATATTGTTATTCCCGAAGTGACGTCAAAAGCCAACTCGTCCCATTCTCCGCTATTCCTCGGTCGTGAACATGGAAAAGGGCAAATTTACAAACTTTAAAAATTCATAGAAAATTAACAAAAATGGCTACAACGATAATTTTTTCGCAGTGGTGATCAGGAGAAAAAGGAAATTTGTATCAGCGAAAAAAAAGTTTGGGGGTTAGTGGCACTTTAACACTAAGTGTTGTCGACAGCCGATACCCGATAAACCCGATTAACACGCATATTAGTATCTTATGGTTTTGTATTTCAACCGACCGCTCATTTTCCCGAAAAACCTTAACTGCTTACCGTAATAAGCGCTGTCGGATTCATATCGGCAGCGTGGTGGGTCCAAGAATCCTTATACACTTGATCTAGTGATCTTCTTTGTGTTGTCAGTTCAACTGATTTAAAAACTCTCGATCGATGTTTTGCCATGCTCTTTATAGCAGCGATTTCTTTTCAAGACTGAGGTGTGTCCAACATAAAGGGAATTCCCTTCCATAACTATCTTGAATGCTAAAATAAGATCACATCCGCGAGTGAGTGGGAGAGCTTATCATGTGATGATAACTGTAAACTGGCCAAGTTTCCTCTTCCGCGTGTTGAATTCTACGATGTTCAATTTCGAACTCCTCATCTCACACAAACCGTTGTAGAGATTTTGGTTTAATTACGAAATTCTGGTATGATTTGGAATTAGAGCAGTCCGTCTTATTTTGCTCAATTACTCATTTCGTTTAAGCTTTTGTGTGAGCTTGAAACGGACATGCAACGCCATTGTAATTGTTTACTAAAATGTACATAAATTATTGTCTCGTCGCAAAGCACGGGCTGTCACGCTAGTCACTTTACGCTGTATGAATTACTTTGAGCGCAGTTTCGAAAGTTAAATTCTGCCATATGCTTTCTTAATCTACACATTTAATAGTCACTTCTTAACTTAACTAAATAATATTTACCGGCCTTGACATTAGAAGGCTGTCAAGAGGCCTTATGACACGACTGTTGCATTCAGGCAAATTTGCATTTATGGGATACGTCGGGTTCTGTCACGCTAATCCCACTTTTGGTAATGCAAGGGGTTTCTTGCCAAAAGAGCTGACTAGGCAATCTTTTAATAGCTTGCTGCCTTACACTATGTCTGAAACATATGGGAGTTTTCCCGCTGTTGTCATTGAAGCAAACAAAACGCTTCAATGTAACTTTTTTAACTAAGAGAAAAATTCCCATGTCCGGGGAACGTTGAGTGACATCAGCTGTTTGATTGTCAAGTGATGAACTGCCGATATAAAACGGAAAAGAAAGCCATGGTAATTTAACCAGTAAGGTAGAGGGGACAGTTTTAAAGCTCCAGAACACTGAAAATCCGATGAAAGCGTATGTCTCTATAAATACCATACTTTGCCATATATAATATCTTACATTTCATATCTTAAAATAACTTCGTGAAAATATAACATTCCCATATTAGCCTTAAGGGTACGAACTGAGCCAACCTGAATTTTTACTAGAAATTTTCAGTTGCTCGGGACTTTTTGTTTGTGCTTGACGGCGATCGATTGCGTATTTACGGTGACCATAACAATGTGCATGTGACAGGAAGTAATTTTCGATAGCTCTGGTGGCATGCGGAAGTACACGGAATTGTATATTGCGTTACAGTCCGGCACACCTTCTAGTCAAGGTATTAAACCTTGTTCGCGTGTCAGCAATAGTCGTGTTCTAAGAACGACTCCCATGAAATGATCCACACGAGAGTTTTGCAGGATTCAGAGCTGAAAGGATCTTCCTTCTTCATGCTAGATCTTCCAGGAATTCTTTCGAATCGGAATAGCGGTAGCACGAACCGTTTCGGAGCAATTGCATCGACATCTATTTTTGCTCTTTTAAAAATGAATCATGAATGAACCGCTTAATTCCTCTAAGAGCGCAGAATTTGCTGCCTGTTAGATTATTCTGCAGTAAGGTGAACTTGATCAGAAGTACAGTTCAGAAAGGATTACATAATCTATAACACCAACTTTAATGCACCAACTAACTATAGTTGACCCAATGCCACAACGGCCAATATTAAAATAATCTCGTAGGGAAAAATGGCGGCGCGGTCCTGCTCCGTGTAACAAGGTCGACTGTACATAGAACAGCAGCACTGGATTGCACATAGAACAGCAGCACTGGATTGATTGACATCAATTGCCTTATAATCTTTTCTGAGCTTGATCGCACCCACTGTACAGCGGTATAACTGATCACCATTTAGGTCACGCGATTACAAATCAGACACGTTCAAACTGTTTTTAAAAACTAAAATTGTTTTTTTTTTTTTTTTTTTTTCTGTCCAAAAGGGTTCAAATATAATACGTTCCTAGTTTGATCAGGTGAACCTCTAAGCCAACAACCACACAAAACATTTTTATATATATATATATAAACTTGATTCCTAGCATTGTTTTGATGCTTGGATATTGGGGGTGTGAGTTAATCCCCCATAAGGTATTTTTATATCCCAGACCAGTCTAAAATAGCCAATTTTGCTCACGTGAAGAGCCCAAACAGCTTGCACTTATTTTTAACTCCACGAAAACATCCACGCGAAACCAGTATCCATGGAAAAACTGGGTACCATATCTAAAAATAAATTGAGTGGCATTACCTTAGGAAATAAGGCCTATATGAGGGATTAAATCTCTTATCTTTTACTCTCCCTTGTTTGATGTAAATGGCAATTANCCCCCCCCACACCACCACCACCTCCACTCTCACCTCCTCACTCCGCAATCAGCATATCCACCGCTTTGAGGACATCTAGGTTAACGATGTCTTCGTCAAAGGAATTATTGAAAGCTTGGAGTTCCTTGAAAGCACGCGTGATATGTTTACAGGAAGGATAACTCTTCTTTTACACCACGCCTTTGCACGCTTAAGTGCTCATATTTCATAACAGTTTCTGAGGAAGTTTTATTTCCGACCGACCACAAACGTGTATTTATGGGGATAAGGCGATTGTAAGAAAATTTGATTACGATCACGCCAAAACCTCTAATTTCGGATCAAGTGACTTTTACTTTCCAGCAACAAGGAAGATATATGTAATAAAATAACATTTATTTCAAACAGGAATTTAATCAGCTAATTATCACCATATTTATTGACATGGTGGTTTCTACTCTAAAGTTTAAATCTGAGACAATCTAGTTTCAAGTTTTGTTGTAAACTTAACGTTTGTAATCCTTATATCACTACAGCCGGAACATTTCATAAATATTTCAGCACATCGAGACTTATAAATATATAAATAATTTTTAAATCGGAAACATGAAGACGGCTTCACACGGAATGAAGTAATATAAAATAAAATACCGAATTACTGTGCACTTATTTTTAACTAACACTGTTTCCAGTTGGAGACAACTTATCAATAACTCTTGGAGTTAACCACACCTTTGTGCTTTGCACAAAATTTTCTTACATTTGGCAGTACAGATTGTCACGGTACTGGGCGTTACACGTGGATTATATTAGGCGTGGGGTAATTTGCTGGTTGTTCAATAAATTAATTGCTTTCAGTTCAAATTGATACCAAATATTCTTATATATAAATAAAACCTAACCTTTTGACAGTGCTTTCCCTTGCAAAAATTTATAGAATCTAACTAAACAAAATTGTACTAAATTTTCGGTGACCTAATTGTTTCTATTTTTCTTCTTTTCTTCTTGTGCTTCTTGTTCTTCTTGTCCTTCTTCTTCTTCTTCTTCTTCTTCTTCTTCTTCTTCTTCTTCTTCTCAATTCTTCTACTTTTTCCTCTTATTCTTGAGTACAAGGCGTTCTTAAATTTTTGTCACGCAACGTTCGAAGTTTTTAAAACATTTACGTGACGGCTCAGGTACTGTTAGAGAACTTTCGGATGTTTCGTGTTTTCAGTTTTTCCTCTTTAACGATGATTAGGGTCGTACACAAACGCAACAGGAAGCGTTGCTTTCTCCCATTTCCACACGTCTATTCTTTCTCTGCGAGTTTCTAACGCAGGACAATCTCTTACAAGAACCCGGTGGTCATAGTCCACTGGTCTGCAGTACCACTGACAGCCTTTACACACTGCTTTCGGTAAGTACCTTGGTTCTCTGTTCACGTTCTCATCAAGTTCAGTAGTCCACCTGCAGTAACGCGATCCCGTTTGGTTTATACTCCTCCTCAGGCGAGGAGGAATATTCAAACTCCCTCGGAGTTCTTGATATGAGTTTCGCTTGACTAACAACCAGCCAGCTTTTGAAACTTTCTCTACTATGTTTCGCGGTGTCACTGACTTCACACCGCAGGGCGCTGAGCGGATCATTTGAAAGACGTAGAGTAAGACAGTGACTGCCAGGGAAATCTGAAATAGATAAATAAACAAAGAAATATTACTAACACTGCAAAAGACGTAGAATTTGAATATAGCTGAGTCAAGAAAAATTTGCGTTCTGTTTGTTCTTGAAACGACACTAGCTCAAATAAATTTTCACCGAAAGTTGTTCATTTTGATTAGTCAACTTAATCTATTTTACTTTTGTTTTCTCGTTTCAGGAGTCTTACTAAAATCAATCCTACTCTTAAGTGATTTTACACTCTACTGAACACACGGAGAAATGTAAATTTTTGTCACTAACAAGTACTCGGTCAGCAAAACTGACAACCACAATAGACTTCGCCAAGCGTGAAGACACTTACAACAATAAGCGATATACAATTAACACCGCTTAAAATTTTTTCTCACAGAGATTTTAAAAATACAGTTTAATATGACAGGTTCTAACACAGCTCAATTTTTTTTTCATATGATAAACTGAACTTAGTGCAAAAATTACGAATTAAAGAAAATGTCATTAAAATAAAAAGGAAGTTAAAATAAGTTATAAATAAAAGAATTTCTCCCATACTTTAAAAGCGACAGCAACCGATTCGCGGCCGATTACATTTCGTAAGGTAACTGGCCGACTTACCTTCATAATTGAACACAGCATAGTTTGCAGTTATTCCCACGCTTTTCAACTGACTTCAGTGTCTCTGTCTTTTTTACGCCTTGACTCCCACTCAGTCAGACGGCAATAATTTGATCTGAAATTTGCCAGGGGCGCACCGGCTTATATATCACACTGGGCCCCATTTTCCGCTCAAGAGTGTTGCGTCACCGAGCAACAAGGAAAATTTTCCCGCGCTTAAAATAACAAACCGAACCTACTATGTTTTACATAAGAAATAAGCACACTAAGGGGAATCCCTTTCCTCGCTGGCTACTTCCGTTACTGAAACGTAAATCAATTCATCCGAAAGTCTACGATGACGATAGTTTTATTTTTAGCGATTTCGCAAAATCACAAATCCGGGTGACGACGAAATCGCATCGTGAGCTATTCGTAACTTTTCCGAAACTTCACGATGCTCGAAGCGCGCGCGTGTCGCAGTGCCACTGTAGCTGATTAAAGCTGAATGAAAAGTGTTTGCATCTTCGTTTTGACAATGAAATAAACTGAGTTCCGAACAAGGATCATATAAAGACGTTTATTGTTTTTCGAATTAGTCAATTGACTAAATTAAAGTGGTGTATTTATCACGATGGTGACATGCCGTGTCCTCCCACGAAATATCACTGAACGAGTTGACTCAGTTGACCGTTTGTAAAATACTCAACTCACAACTAAATTGCGAAATAATCTAAAACAAAGAGCGCCCCTTGAAATTATTCATCAGCGATAGCTTCTAGAGGAATGGCCGCAATGTTAAAACAACTCAGTTTAAAATTCATCCCTGAAATAACAGTGATAAGGTTAATATATATTGATCGGTTAAACAGCTCTAAGATTCACATTATCTTGACCTTTCTTCGCTCTCTGATTTTGAGCTTTATACATAGAATAATTTTCACCATTAACAATTTTAGTAAAATCACTGATTCACTCAAGGTAGCCGCACCTAACTGAATTGCAACAGCGTCTAAATTTAGGAATGATAAAAATCAGCAGTACAAGCAAAGAGAAAATCGGCTGCTATCGGTCTCTTAAGTTGTAGCTGAAATTATTAACAATTTATTGAGTAATTTTGCGGTGAAAACCTTGCAGGATTTCCGCTGAAATGACTTTTGAGCTGTACGATTGTTACTTTAACTCACGACAGGAAGTCGTGAACTCGATAATTTTAAGTTCAGTTGAAGCAATATCGTTTCAAAGTCAGTGGAATTTGGAAACAAACTGATGTCAGGTGATTAAAAGAAGTAGGCCGGGTACAGGGAAATAATTATTTTTGTCTCTACAAATAGTTTTATTGCTTGATAACTATATGAGCATGCTAAGTCCCCAGTACCGTGGAAGTTATATTTACAGCGGGTACTGTGAAATGTCTTTTCTTTCTTCGCATGTAGCTCAATATTGTTCTGTTTGATTTACGGTTTCGTTGGCATGTATAGGTGGGTTTCTGGCAAAATTGTTTTGCCCAAAGTATGACGCACAGTTTTAAGTACATATGCCGTTAGTCAATATAAAGAAAGCTTACCCGTTACAACGAGCTTTTCATGTTTAACTTGGCCATTCGTTGCAAACTGGTTTAGCCTGATAAAATAGTTTAACGCCGATTGTCGAGTGATATGTGGCGTTTCTTTGTCGTAGCAAGGTCTACTATAGAACTCAAAACCTCAAAATTGTTGCTTAAACTATAAGCTTTTAGTGAAAGATTTCTTGTTTTTTTATTTTTGTTCTAATAATTAGAATGTCTGTACGTGTCGATTTTGGCGGTTTTAATATTTCGTGTTAGATAATAACTGTGTATACAAGAGAGCAGTGATCAACAAACTAATATAAGGTTGACGAACCATTCCACGTGGAATATAGCTTTTAATAAAACAATGTCGCGTGGACGGAAGCAAAAAGGAATCCCCTTGAATAAATGAAGAGGATTTTGGAGTTGCCGACTGAAGCAAACTGAAACATTTTCGTTGAGTCCACCGAATAAGGCGGCGAATAACGCCGGTTTCTTTAGCATTGATACTAGTAGAATAATAGACATTATTACTCGCTGGATAGAATGCGGCTAATCTATATAGCTTAGCATTTTGCCCCCGAGGTTGTCTTATTTTACTTCTGAGCCGAAAGATGTACCGCGGAAATGTAGTGTCTCCCCCAGGACGCAAGGCACAATGACCCAGCCAAGGCTTTGGATGTGTACAAGCTCGATAATAAGATGTTGACGTCGTTTTCAATGTTCAACCAGTTTGAGGAGCAATTGAGTTTATAATATCATAGAAATGCCGCCTTTCTTCTGGTATTCCTACCAGCGGCAGCGTTTGTAATAAGTAAAAGGAAGCGTCTTGAAAAAACAAAACATTTACACGTAGCCACATGTAAATCGATAAAAATTACACAGTTTTTTTGTATTTTACTGGCTATGTTCAGTACATTACAGTTTATTTTGAGACTGATAAAACAGGTCGACGATAGCTAAACTGCGAAACAGAATTCACTCAGCTGAAACGTTCATCCGCGCACGAGACCACTCCTTTCCGGACAGGCCTGTTTCTTTATTCGATAGACCGGTAGACTTATGGTGAACACAGCTCGTGACTTTGATATCAATTCTGTTCGGAAATAACTAATGAGTGTTTATTCGTTTATAGCTTATTTTGCTTCCCTTAACATAACATATCAGAATATTATATTGCCGTTCACCTTAAAACGAAGGAGTGACTCTTATAGTTCGAGGGGCAGCGTTTCAATCAACACGTGTCCAAGCTGCAGTTTGTCAGGCCGCTTGCATGAATTAGTGATGCAATCAAAAGAGGAAATGTATCGTTTCAAAAATGGAACGTTTGTAACATTCCAAAAATAAAACAATCCAGCGGGAGCTTAAATTCATTTATTTCAGCTATAAAACCAGCTTTGTGGACCACCCGGTTGCGAGTGCACCGCTAATCTTGCTTTGCTTTCTTGTTAAACAGGGAGAGAATAATCGTGCTGTATAAACATAGAGGCGTAGGTGTACTGTTAAAATCGATCTAATTTATTTACTGGGCTAATGCCTTTTGTTTTAAAAAGGGAGTATTTTTTTACGCTCACGACTTGGAGTCGTGAAGCTTACTGGCGGTCTAAAAGAAAAGTAGCTATTTTATATTACTCGTTTACCAGTTTTATACCTTACGCATATACGACGGCGACGGCGAGGACGACGCCTGGTAATAAATATGTTTATATTTTACTTTGGAATTTCGCATTTATTTGGAACTATCCATTGTGTCTGTCGGTATTAAAACTTACGCATATACGACGGCGACTTACGCATATACCTTACGCATATACCTTACGCATATACGACGGCGAGGACGACGTCTGGTAATAAATATGTTTATATTTTACTTTGGAATTTTGCATTTATTTGGAACTATCCAGTGTGTCTGTCGGTATTAAAACTTGCCCCGGCTGAATATGCTACGAATGCGTTGAATTCTAAATAGAAATGCGAAAAGTTAGCCGTTGTGGTTCACGTTCTCCAGCCAACGCAGAATTTGGTCATTTCACACGTTGTTGTTGTGCAGAGAACGGCAAAGAAATGTACCAAGAATCATAACGCACGTGCACAGCCACTGTTTTTTTGCTTGTTGTCGTTGCCGTTGATGTCGTGTTTTGTGTAAGGTCCCCAATAGCATATCGTAGCAAACGGATAAAAAGGCCCAGTCCACACTAATCCGTCACAAAAACGCAGCTTTATTTCTCCGGTTAAGCCTCCCGTCCACACTAATCCGTCACGAAGACGAAGCTTTTCGAAAACGCTCTTCAAACCGGAGAAATTTGAAAACGCCAGCTTTGCGTTTCAGTGAGGACGGAAAACATTTTGAACGCTTTCCCTGAAAGATGACGTTACAATAATCATGATATTTTCCTGCCTAAGCTCTACTCAAACACAAATCCAAAATGACCGCTAATAGTTTTGTTTTCATATTTCTCGGGCGTAGTGATGACGGAAAACATTCGTAGCGTTTTCAGAGTTTAAACCCTCCGTTTTCAAATTCCTCCCGTGAAATTTTTTAACTGATTGATCAGCTTTTATTTTATTTTCAAAATAATTAACCGTCGTTAGATTTCACATCGCGAAACCGGTTTTTGCTCGATTACTACACTGGAACACTTTTAAATCTAGATTACATAGCTTGCTCTTCATCTGTACAAAATATTGTTCACAGTAGTTTGGCGGAAAGATTACTTATGTAACAAGCAGGTTAAACTGAGTTTCCACGGGCAGCGAGATATGTTAAAAGTGGGAAGCAATAGAACACTTTCTGTGTCAGAGTTCCGCCATGCCTCGCGGAGGATCCGATCTATCACGTTTCCCCCAGCATCGTCATAAAATTTGAAAAATCTTCTTTCAGCCCTAATCCGTCTTGAAAACGGAGCTTTTCGAAAAAGGTCTTCAAACCGGAAGAATTTTAAAACGCTGGCTATGCGTTTGAGTGTGGACGGAAAACATTTTGAAAACGGGACTTTTCGAAAACCATGGTGTCACTATAATCATGAGTTTTCTTTACCCGAGTTTTACTCAAACACAAATACAAAATGACTGGTGCTTGTTGCGTTTTTAAATCTCTCCGACGTAGCGTGGACGATGCCAAAGCCTGGCGATAAAGCGAAACCACAATACAAGACATGGCACAGCCGCGATGTGACAGGGCAGGGCAAGGCATGCCAAAACAAACAAAAGTTAAGCCAAGGCACGGCAAGGCAAGGCAAATCAAGTGAAGGCAAGCCGATACAAGCAAAGACAAGTTAAGATAAACACATCCGGTATTTGCATTGTATTGAATTATAATGAATAATAAATCAACAGAGTCTGCGGGTGGACTGTAAGGTTATTTTTTTTTAATCTAAGGAAATTTGTACATTCAACTTATAATAAAGACATTTTTTAATATATTCACTAACTTGCGCAGTGCTCCAAATAATAAGACATAATTCTCACTTGGTTCCGAGGCTTGGGGGAATAAAACAAAAGAAATTCATCCCTCGACCTTGATGCGATCTTCCCTCAAGCCTCGGAGCTAAGTTAGCATTTTGATATATCGAAAATGGCCTATTATTTAGATCTTTTTCTAAGTTATGTTCGAGTAAGATCTGATGCAGTTACAAGATTGAAATTTATCGAGAACCACAAGCCCTATTTGAAAACTGTTTTTGGCTTATCGCGAGCATTACACAGACACATCATTAGAACTCATACATAAACATGTATAAACGTCGTCACGTTACATACAACACAAAATATGTATCTTATAGTAGCACACATTAATCACTGAATAAGTGCATGTAGGATTACTAGCATTATTTTATGTTCCAGACAAAATTTTCTTCATAGCGATTGGCTGAGAGCAGGCCAATTTATCGTTATTCTTAATTTGCACTGCTACACAAATTTTAAAATGTGCGCGCGTTCGCAATTTTCTCGGACACATATAAATCTCATGATAAATGAGTAATCGTATGAAAGCTCGAGCAATTAAGGATTTACACTACTCGTGACATTTGAAAATTCTTTCAAAATGTACTCTAAAGGCTTGTTCAATATTAAGAGAATTTTCAAATAACACTCGTAGCGTAAATCCTTAATCAGCTGATTACGCTCACATTCATGATCTAAGCCAACAGAAACATCCATATCCGGCAAGTGGAATCTCTCTACTTCAAACCAGGAGCCGGACTCAGGAAGCTCTCCTTAGTTGAGATGCATCCTGAGCATTGTTTCTTAACAGTAGACTTCTATCTTCAAACTATACTTACGCCACAAATCAGCCTAAAAGGCCTTTCAGTATCTGAGCCCAGGTTGTGAAAGCTTTAACAAAAGACCACTGAGCTCCCGAGAGACTCGTAAGGCCTTGTCCACACTACGCCGCGGAGAAAACCATGGCACGATAATCATGTGATTTGCTTGGCCGAGTGACTGGTGATTTTGTAGTGTGGACGGAAAACATTTGAAGCGGTAATTATTTTCAGAGTGAAAACGCCGGCGTTTTCAAATTTCTCCGGTTTAGTGTGGACGGGGCCTCACGGTGAGCTAGGCTACTTTATAGAAGGCTCAAAATTATGTCGCACGCGCCGTGAATACTGACATGTATGTGCTTGTCTGATGTTTGTTTTATACATGTGTACACGGTCCCATTGGCTGCCAGCTTCAAGTACCAAACATTTCGAAATAGCTTCTAATCATAATTTTTACTGAATATGTAAATATAGTTTTTCTATTAGCCCGGCAGCTTTAAACAGACTATTATCCATCAGCTTGATTACGTCGTTTTTGTTCTTTTTCGTTTTACAAACTATTTGCAAATGAATTCAAAGAAACGAATCGCCGGAAGTTGCGTTGAAGTTTTGAGTACGACTGCTGTTCAGCGTAGCTTTCTTTGGTCTCACTTCCGGCGAAGCTGTTACTTGGATTAGTCACAAGTGACAACGCTGCTAAGAGCGTCCCGTCACCGTCTTGGCGTCTCAAACATTATTTTCTAAGTCTTAAATTTGTTCGGTTCAGTAAAAGAGTGTGTCAACAAAAAGAACAGAACTGGAGCCAGCACCAGCGTGAACATCGGTCCATGAATTGAAGGTTTGCTTAATTGCGTGACTGCCAAGATGCCATACGCATGCGCCAGCCAGTGAGCCAGGATGATGGTCACGTGACGTTTGCTTCTGATCAACTGGCGGACATGCTGAAAAGAAGACAAATGACGTGTTGTCAGACAAATGTATAATGCAGTGTCAGAAAACAACTTAAAACAACAACAACAACTTTATTTGTACTCATGCTTAAAATTAAAGTGTACAAAAATACGTTTTAAAACAAAAACGAGTGGATGAATGCCCGAAATGACTATTTTATACCATGTCACAGAAATGCTATGACGTATAGTGGCCAACATAATCAATACGACATACGCGCGGCGTATGATGGGAAGGTTGGACGTAATACCGTCTTAATACAACGGCTTTCCTGTATTCTGATTGGCTGCATTTTCTATGGCGTGGTATAAATAATATTATACAACTACTCACCGTAACTTTGTTCTTAGCCAGGACCACGGCAGTACTCAAAATGGAAAGAACTAATGTTGCATAGGGGTAAGAATAATCTGGAGACAAAATAAATGAAACTATTGTGTGATACTTCAACTCTACCTAGCCACGTAGACCTTGTGTGTAAAGCTACATCAAAGAATCTTAGGAAACTTAAACGATTTTTTTTTCAAGTTGGTTGTTTGTAGGTACATGTATGTTTTGGTTTACAGTGTAATGTATTCTATTTCGCTTCGCTCAGCCGAATAGAGAACATTTCTATTATAAGTAAAGGAGACAAGTAATACAACAAAAAGTGGAGAGAGCCGCCAGCAATAATGAGTTTAGTTACAAGAATCTTAGACACACTGAATACAGGTGACAAGCCAGAGAATATAAGAAAATGTACAATACAATAATACAAATTTTATAAGCACTCCCCATGGGGGCTTCTCAGTACTAATACAGTACTACTAAATAAGTTACATTAAAATTAAAATGAAATAAATCAACGTATCAAGGAATTTTAAAAATGATATGAAATAAGGTAGAATTATGTGACAATATTGTATTATGATAATAATAATTCACGCTATTTCACACTATGTCACACGCTATGTCACACCCTATTATAAACAACGATATTTACAAAAGAGAAAAAAAGCCTCAAGTACATGTAAACTGGTCGTCGTCAAGTGGTGTGATATTCACAAGAAGTGGTACATAAAGGTCTACAAATACAAAGCAACCTTATTAAACACCTAAAATAAATACATTTTAATACACTACCAGGGGTCCTACTTGGTACTACTAAGTCGACATTTCCTTTACCGTTTTTCTCGTCAACAATGGTACATGACTACTCTATGCTACATTCATAAGTCGTATTATCATTATTACTACTAACACACTGAAGTCAATATTAACACACTCACTCACTCAATCCCAGAATGCCCTGTGGAACATAGGGCCTCAATTTTACCTCACCCACATTTAAATAAGGTTATGAAGATTAACTACTTACAAATGAGTCCACCAAACAAGGCATGAAGCACTGCAAGTGACGGCAGGAAATACAGTGCAGCATAGATGGAGGCAAGCCCCTGGCCATCACAGAACTGGTGTGAAATGATGGGCCGGAACAAAAACAAGAGTCCAACTGAGAGTGCATAATACATAAGCACTATGGTGTACCTGATGTGAGGGAACCACGTGGAAAGTGATTAACATCGACAACAGAAGTTCACAAACCAATGGAAATAAGTCATTGGCTGTCTACAGTAGATAAAGAAAAAATGCAGGGTACAAACAAAACAAATTTTTGTGGCTGCCCTTCAGACAAGCTCTAACTGTGATGTACTAGCCCGAAAATACTTCTTACTAGCCCATCAGAAAGTTCACCTGTTATGTACAATACTTCTGAAATTTAATTGTCCTCAAAATATTTCCCAAGAAATTTACTTGCCCATCGGGGGCAAGTGATGGGCAGAATTCCCTGGACAGACTGGAAATCTACTAGCCCAAGGCTATTGGACAGCACTTTGATTGCACACTGAAGATCCCATAAGTAATAAAAAAGATCCAGACTTCAAACTAACTTGTGACAGTATTGGCACCTAACCATACACTAATGTGAAAAAATAACATACTTACAGAGGATAAACAGCCTCTTGTGTGCAGTGAAGGGTGTTGACGTAATCAGGCTTTGGATTGAAGAATATGGTGTACCAATCTGCAATGTGCTTTGACTCACAGGATGTCAAGCTTAAGCTACCTGGTAAATATCAATCAGAAGATAAAACCAGAGTTTTTATGCAATTTCGTTGATCTTTGGAAAGATAATAAATGAAGGTTATCTGTCATTGGGTAGCCTATGAAAGCAGATGTACTTCCAGCTGTCCCTTGTCTTTGCTGAAAGACAGGTGACAGCCGGAATTATGTCTACATTTGCAGGCTAGCCATTGAGTGGATCCCTGCCATTGTTTCATTAGCATGACTTACGGCAGGTTAAGGTTTTTTATACACTTATTGATAATAAAACAGGACACAAACTAGAATGCTGTCACATTCTGGTCATGCATTGAAACTTCCAAAATTCAAATGTGATGTAGCCGTGAGAATAGCAGTGCCAGTCACCACTGAAAGTTGAAATCAAGTCATGTCTAGACATTGCTGCCCAAATCATGCATCTTTTTGATGATACATTGACTAGAGTAAGTTTGCTAAAAATTGTACACTCTGAGGATGAACAATGGCAAAAGGATTTTTACAGGTCTTGCCATAACTGTCTGCTTATAATAATTATTGTATATCATTTCTATTGCTTAGTGAATTAACAGCCCTTAAGAGGCCCAGCAATATAGGCAACATTTTCTTTGCAACTTGATGCCCAACAATGTTGCAGTGAAAGTTTAAAAGATCTGTGGTGAGAATTACCGTGATTTTGTAAGAGTCGTTTTTTTCTGACAATACATGTACCTTGAGTAGTAAAAACTCCTGTCTGGTTAATTGTCAAGTCACGTCAAGTCATCTTTATTTAGGCAGGGTAGCCCCATCAACCACAGGCTGGTATCAAAAGGGGCCGACTACATGAATGTGTTGATTTTATGTTATCTATGACCTTAATTCTATGACCCTGAAGTTAAACTCCTTTCTACATTGTGCCTCTCAAAATGCTTCCTGTGTTATATTGCTTGGCTGTTAACTAACCTTGAGGTTTGCTTGCAAGAAGACAAAATACGGCTGCTAAGGCACTTTCAACAAAAGCACTCAGGCAATGAACAAAGATACTGCAAAAAAAATTCACATCATTTACAACAAAATAATTTGATTCTACACAGAACAGGCACAACTATGAAAATTTAATGTCTGCCTGAAACTTGTACTTGGTGGAGAGAAGTTTAATTTTCATTATAAACAAGAATGTGTTGATTTTTGTTCTCATTGAACTGACAAGAAGAGAAGTGGGAACATTTTAGTTTTATACATGTAAGAGGTTGTAGGTAATTAAATTAGTTTGTCTAC